TTCAGTTTGTTTTACCTGAAAGGCTGAGAAAATGTCTGAGAGAGGGATGATTTTAGACAAGACATACTTATTCCCATGACAAGCCAAATTGTTTCCCAAGGTTTGTTAAAGTGTGTTTAATTTGTTTTGACTGTGACCCAACCTTCAGTTTTTTCCAGCAACATAAATAAGGGAGACAAACTCTGTTTAGTTAGAACAGGGAAACCATCATGCTGTAAATGTAAATGTCTTGTTCTCCTTTAGTTTGCAAAGTAAATAAAGTGCCGACTGAGTAAAATTCATCGATCTCTGTTTTCTTTAACTGTATAGTTGAAATCTTTTTTTACACAAAAATTGGCGAACACGAACGGAATTCTCCTACGACTGATTTTTTTCCAAGGACAGCGATCGTCAGAAGGATAAGGCACCACCTGAAGGAAACAGTCTTCCAGCCTCAGAACCCCATGTAGAAGCTTAAGGAAGAGAGGACTTCTGGCATCGAGGTCCCTGGAGGTCAGCGGGAGGATCAAAACGAACCATTTCTTCTTTGAGACGGTGAGATAAATTCTCTGTCGGCACAGTTTAAAGAAAATTTCAAAAACTAAATTTCAAAATAGCAGGGTGTTAACAGACTTAAAGATGATTAGAAATCAAGTACTGGAAAACTAGCTCAGAGAAAGTCCTCTACTTCTCCATAATAAAATAATAGTAAAATAGAAAAACTAAACATAATCTATTTAGTGGAAAAATTTAATAAATTAAAGATGAATAGCTTAATAATTTCAAAAGCACTAAAATTAGTATATTACTAAAAAACATACATTCAAAATGAAAGATAATTTTGTTTTGGGGAGATGAAAGGCACCATCGCATAGGAATGTGAGCGCTCTCTCTAAGCACGGGGAGGAAGGTTGTAGGTGCCACCAGGAGGTACTTAATTTTACTGAGACATTGGTAATCTAAAGTGGGATCACCCCCCAGTTATCCAGGTCGGCACCAGAGGATTGGTGCGCTGTCGGGCAGAGTTAAATTCAAGTCCACTCTGTACAACCAGAACTAGAACCAAACATGGAGAAATATCATTTAGTTCCTATCCTCCACTTATCTGGAACAAACTTCCAGAAAACTGTAAATCCTGAAAGCCTGAGTTCTTAAGTCTAAGTTTCTTTAGAACTTCCTTTGACTGCTGAAGACAAACTGTTCTCTGAGGTATTAGTAGTTTAAGGTTGTGGTCCATCTATGTTATTTGCTATTTATCATGTTTTTAATCTTTATTTTCTATTGTATTGTCTAATTAATGAAGAGAACTCTGAATTGTCCTTAAATTGTGCTATACAAATAAACTTGCCTTTCCTTTATGCACAGTCTCATAAAAGCTTACTCTGTTGCCTCTATGCTGCTATGGATGGCCTTCCTACTCCTTCCTCCCATTATGCCGATTGCTGCATAAGCAATTCTTCTGTAGCAGTCGATGACAAACCTATCGAACCACTCCCTTTTCCATTTATAGTCTTCCTCCATATGTTCTTTACAGTTGCTTCAAGCATGACGATTTTCTTTGGTGTCTCTGACAGGGGAAGGATGTCCGATTTAAGAGTGGTGTTATTAACATGCTGGAGAAACTTTAGTTAGCTGCCTGAATGTGTGGAGAGCTGCCAGTGATGTGTGGTGATGAGAATCCCTGATTTATTTATGATTTATATCAAAGTGGTCAAACACTTTTTATATAGCATCTTTAAAGAAAAAAAGATCCTGATACATTGAGATTCTAGAGCCCCTGAAGAATGTATTAGAGTGTGAAAAAAAAAATAATTATATATATATATTTATCGATTGGTGGCTATACCTCTGTTTCCCTTTAGGCAAAAATAGAGTTTGAACTTTGTTCATATATGTTTATTTTGGCATTAAATAAGTGAAGTTATTATAATTGGGGTTTCTTCCCTCCATCTAGGCCTATTCTTTGATTTTAACAATAGTCATTAACATGAATTTAACATGCTGTCATGGCTTACTGGTTCAGAACACCATTTCCCATAAGGCACTACGACGGGCGGAGCTCGTTTGTCCCTCGTCATCGTATTTGCTTAAGGAAAGTTCCATCGCCTTCTACAGAAAATCGCCATCTTTGAAGACGACTAGTCGCAGGCGTAGTTCCAGATTCTTTGTTCGTTATCTTCAATCAACCGATAATTACTTTTATTTGAGCCCCAGAAGCATAACTAAAGGTATGGTGATCTCTTAATATGCCAAAAAGCGGACATTTATTATGTGTTTGTCTTGTTTCGACCGTTTGGATTTTGTGAAATTCGACGCCTCGCTAACCTGGCAAATACTCTGCTGTTACATAACCGTTCTCTGCGAATTGCCGTGCTTTTTTCTTTAGAATTTTCCTTTGTTTCTTAAACGTTCTGCACCCTAGCTTCAATGCGGTTCTTTACATTTCGGAAGACAAAAAAAAACGTATTTTCACCATTTTTCTCTTTTTGTGTGTGTGTGCTTACTTAGATAGGGCATCGCTAAAAGCTCGAGGCTTCAATTTATTGACGCTAAAAGTTAATAAATATATCGGCTAATTGTTGTCTAACCCTAACCAGACTAAAGTTTTTTTTCTTAGAGATGAATAAAAATTTGCATTTTTCTAAGGAGCAAGGCAGTTTAAATCTGCAACACCCGAAGGCCTTAGCATTTCCGCAATAGCAGAATAATGGCGCTGTTCGTTCGTTATATCATGATGCACCAAGCGTTATTTTTCTGTCATTGACTGCACAATTTATGAATGTTTTATGTAGTTGTTCGTTGGCTGTTTTTTTAAACGTGATATATTAGGTTTAGCGGCATTATTTTCCTCTAATGTAATTTAACACTTCCCAAAGCAGACGGCTTAAACATGGCGGATCTTGTTTGCTTCGAGTAGTTTAACGCGCCATGGGTTGATCAAAGCCCCAAATCCGAGCTTCAACTCAAGCCACTAAAGCATTTTTCGTTAAGTTTTTTCCCCGGTATTATTTACTTATGAGCGTCGCATCGCCCCTTTTAATCGTAGATTTCCGAACTCCATCGCAATGCAGATAACAACCTTGATCAGTTAGAGATTTGCAAATAAACGTGTTAATGCATCTGTAGATTGTTAAATTTGAGGTGTTTCTTTCATGTTTCTATCTGCCCTAGATGCGCCACTCAAAGCGAATGCGCTCCCCTGGCGTCTGGCTGGATGAGTATGGCTGGGAAGAAAGGATGGAGTGTCGCAAACGCAGAAAACGGGATTCACACAGCAGCGAAAGAGAAAATGGATCCAGGAGATCTCCCCATCACAAGACATATGATGGGTAAATATTGAATGATCAACAATCTATATTAATTAATTTGAACTTTATGCTTTTTTTTAGCTAAATAATTTTAGTTACAGTTTTTCAAAAATGGGCAGTAGTGCGCAGATGCATATTCAATGGTCCAAGAACAGAATCGATGCTTGTTTTCACTTGTTGGTTTGATCAGCCATTTGCAGAGTTTCCACACTACAGCTAAGGGATGTCTGAATTTGCTGTTAAAGTCAAATGTGTTGTTGAGGTGTTTTAAAATCATTGTACAGTGCAGTATTTACCAGTAGAGGTCAGTATGTGATGCTGGTACTGGAAATATTCAGGGGGGGGGGAGTTACTGATCAGATAACATTTCTCAGATTTCGTTTTTATTATTTCTGCCTCGAGCAAGCAGATGTAGGAAAGATAAGTTTCTGGTAACTTAATTATAACAATGCAATTTTGCATTTTATGTGTATTTTTAAGTGAAAAACTTCCTGTAGTGGTAACAAATCAGTTTATGCACTAAATCCTCTCATTAAGTTTTCTCAAATAGCAAAGTTGGTGTTTTTTTTTCCATTAAATAACATTTTTTATGATTTGCTAGTAATACTAATGTTTGTATAGGCCTGCATGCATGGTGGTTCATACGGTTGCATCAGTTGTTTTTAGATCCACTCTAATTTTAATCCTGTAGATGGGCAGACTACTTCTTGACAGACAGCCGATACCAACTGGGTGGCAAGCCGCTGTGGCTTTTTTTGGTCTTTTTAAGGTGTGAACACAGCATGCAGCGATAAGTTTCCTTTAAGTGAAACACCTGATGACCTGGAATAAAGTAAAACTTATGTAACAAAATATATTGTGTCTATTGACGATATGCTTGATCAGTAGAAATGGGGTCACCTACATTTTTGCCTTATCAAGTAATAACATAAGTCCCAGATATTACACACCCTCATCCTGTGGAGCCTAGCAGTTTAACTTTGCCAATGTGGCTGTCTGTCAAGGTGAAGTCTTTTAGTAGAGGGCAGGTTATGCATCTGAATATATTCACCTAAACGTGTAGAGTTACATGTTGGCTTTAGGACTCATAGCAGGACTATTTCTGCTGTTGATCTGTTTATAAACTGCATGGTGGCATTGCGGCCTCTTATTGAATGCGATTCAGGCTAGTTGGTGGCTGTAGATCAGCACGTTGCTGTTGTCAAATGTTACATAAAAAGTTGAGGGATAGAGTGTCAGGCAAAAGGCTGACCATTAGAACCATCATATCCAGACCTGATTTTAGTGCTTGCTCTGTCAACCCCAAAGCTGTACATGGCTTGACTCTGCCTTTTCAAGTGCATGTTTTTTTTTGTTGATCTTGTTTCAATCTTTGTGTCAATAGGCATTACCTGGAGGCCCGCAATCTAAACCAGAGGCTGGATTCTCAGGAAGACTACAACCGTGAACGCAGCCTGGATGTGGCCTGCAACAATGACGGCTGTGAAGATGCTTACAAAGACAGAGATCTCGACTGGCACCACTACAGCAAATCATCTGGCCGTAGTGGTCGCAGCAGGCGAAGCAGTCGCAGGCACAGAGATAGAAGACACAGACGCAGTCATTCTCGACACAGGTCCTCCTCGGTATGGGAAACTCCTTCTCCCCTCTTCTTCCTTCCTCTAGATCTCCATACTAAATGGCTCATTGTCATGGGTGTTAAGCCAATGCTAAATACCCATCTCTTTCTTATATCTGTCGTACCCTTTATAGTTTAGCATGTCTATTAATTTCAGGTAAAATGCTTTAGGATTCAGAAAATTAAAGGTTTTGAGTGTTTAGAAAGGGGCAGGAGAAAATGGACCCAGTATCTTTGACAAGATCCTAGTGGTCGGTGATGGGACATGATTTAGAGAATTTAAACTGTTTGAAAGTTTACAAAAAAAAGCTTTATGTAAAAAAAAGTTTAAAGAATCAAGTTGAAGTGTTTCTGTACTTCTGAGAAAACCTCTCATCTGAAAATCTTGTTGCCATGTTGTTTTTCTTCTGTAACACACACCATGTGGTGGCCGCCGCCCATTTTCTCTGACGGGGCTGAATTTGAATTTGCTGCTCCGCCCATTCCTCCGGTGGTGTTACTGAACGGCCTGAATCTGTCCACCCCTTCACCTCCCCCCTTGGCCTGGTTGAATGAATGACGATGTCGCGTTGTGGTGGCCGGGTGCTGGCTGGCTGGGTTATTGGTGTGATGGCGGATTGCGGCGGTTCCGGTGCAGAGGAGGAGCCATCGCCGCAGGAGCAGGAAAAGATCCAGGAGTGTTGAGGATGATGGCGAGGGTCACCTCATCTATCACAATGGAGACATGCTGAAAGCGAGATGTATAGAATATACACTCTTTATTTTTTATTTCTTTTTTTTTTTCTACTGTTCACACTTTGTCTCTCTCACTCTGGTTGACTGGATATTTTCCAACATTAGATTAGATGTAGAGATATTTGTCCTGTACAGTTAAATGAAATCTTCTCATTTTGATTAATTTTCTGGTTAACATTTTTAGCAAAAATCTGTTTGCCAGTTTTTGTAGCTAGACAGAAATGATAGGATAAAAGCTTGTAACTGTATTCATGTTTTCAGTGCTGTTTGTCTAATTTTACCTCTGTATTTCCCATAGATGAGATTGTGTGTACTCTAGGAGAGGGTGCCTTTGGGAAGGTTGTCGAGTGTATCGATCATGACAAGTAAGTCGAGATTGTTTTTTTTTTTTTTTTTTAGTAAAAATCTTTATACTTTGAAGTTATGTCCATGTATAACAATTCTGATAAAAACATTTTTTAATGGATTTCAGTGATGGGGCTCGAGTGGCTCTGAAGATTATAAAAAATATAGACCGCTACAGAGAGGCAGCTTTGTCTGAAGTAGAGGTGCTGAAACACCTGAACACACTCGATGCTGGCCGAAGATAGTAAGTTAATTCTTTATAGTAGAGACGGACCAGTTGGGCTGTTGGGTGTTTTTTTTTTGTTTTTCCTCCCCAAGTACTGTACTGTGAATAAGTTATCAGCTTGAGAATCTCTCCACAGCATCTCCAGCAAATTGTTGCATCTCTGCATTAGTGTTAAAAACTGTGTTTTAAAGCTATATTGTCTTTCTTTCCCTTGACAGTTCTTGTGTCCGTATGCTGGACTGGTTTGACTATCACGGCCACATCTGTATTGCTTTTGAGCTGCTTGGCCTCAGCACATACGATTTCTTGAAGGAAAACAACTTCCAGCCTTTCCCCGTTAAGCAGATCAGGCATATGGCTTACCAGATCATCCGAGCTGTAAAATGTAAGTAAAGCTCGGTCTTGTGCATCCAATATGAATAACAAATGTTTTCATCAATGATAATAATTTCCTTCTTTTTCATTTTTAGTTCTGCATAAGAACAAACTGACTCACACAGACCTGAAGCCTGAGAATATTCTGTTAATAGATTCAGACTACGACATGGAATACAACCGATCAAAGGTAAATTAATGACGACCACGTACGCTATTGCTGTTCAACTTGAAGTTACAGCCATTAAGCCTGTAATTTGTTCTCAGAGACGAGACGAGCGAACACTCAAGAACCCCGATGTGAAAATAGTGGACTTTGGTAACGCCACCTATGATCATGAGCACCACACCTCTGTCGTCTCAACTCGTCACTATCGTGCACCTGAGGTTATTTTAGGTGGGTCTTTTTATTACAGTGAGAAAACATGAAAAGCATCTTTGCCTGGTTTGTGGAATGATGTAAAATGTGTCTTTCAGACCTGGGCTGGGATCATTCCTGTGATGTCTGGAGTATTGGTTGTATCCTCATTGAGTATTACCTTGGAACCACCCTCTTCCAGGTAGGTGGCAGCAGAGAGCAGAATGACCGTTCTGATCATTACTGTACTTAATGATGTTGGCTTTGTTGTCCTATTTAGACCCATGACAGTAAAGAGCATCTGGCTATGATGGAGAGAGTACTGGGCCCCATCCCTACAGATCTTCTGGAGAAAACAAAGTAAGCGTCATTTCCAATAATATTTATATTTTGCATTTTGATTGTAAATGCTTGATGTTTCTGCACTTCTCTTTTAGTCTCATACATTTGTAATCATCAAACAAATTGCTATTAACACCGCTCAAAACAATTAGTACAGCTCTTCTTGGCTGTTCTGTTAAAAGTCCCTAAAGTATTATTACTAACAAGAAAGTGTTACAAATAAAATTCTCTGACAATTGACTACTTGTTTGGGAACAGTCTCATTTTATATTTACCCTTGACATGCAGGTCTTATTGATCTCAATGAATCCGCTGCATAAGATGGAGAAATGCATTTTTAAATATATTCACTGTAGTTGAACTGATCCCTCCTCCTGGGTCTCACTTTTAAGTTTTTTTTTCAAGCTTCTAATTGTGTAAATTAGGCTTTTCAAGTGTTAGAAATATGAGATTTGATATTTAATTTGGTCTGTTATTTCCGCCCCCTAGGAAACGACGATATGTCCACCGAAACAAGTTGGACTGGGATGTTCACAGCTCTGCTGGGAGATACGTCAGAAAGCACTGCAAACCCCTTAAGGTACAGAATTCAGAAAAGAAACTGATTTTACCTGATTAGGAAAAATATATATATTTTTGTTACAACTAACCAGCTAGAGATATTTTGGTTTCTCTGTAGCCTTGTTGGCTAATTGCTATAACCTCCTACTCTCCTCCACAGCATTACATTGTTTCCAGAAGTGAAGACCACCGGCTCCTTTTTGACCTGATAGAGAAATTGATGGAATACGATCCAGCAAAGCGGCTCAGTCTGGAGCAGGCCCTCAGACACCCCTTTTTCGATTGCTACTACAAGAGCAGCAGTAACTGGAAGAGAAGCAGCAGAGGCAGCAGCACCAGAAGCTCCAGCAGCAGCAGCCATGGTAGCAAATGAGGCTGAAAATGTGAACCCAGCTGTTACCATGACGAGAACGATGGTGCTACCGGCCTCTACGTCCCACCTCTCCAGGAGAGATTTCCTCTTGACTGTATCAGTCACTGGCCCGCTTTGCTGTTATGTCGATTAAAACCGCCATTAAGACTTATAATTTCCTGTTTTCATGTCAATTTCAATTTATGACTTTATTTAAATTCTAGTTGAAGCTTTTTCAATTAAAGTTTTCATTCTGTGCATATTTACTTGATATAGATGAACAAATCTTTTTAATTCTTGCTCACCAGTGCTTTCTTTAGGGTTGTGGGTATTGTTCAAATAAATTGTAGCAGGCTGAAAATTTGTAAATAGTCCTTGTTTCCTTTTCAATTGTCTGGTTATGTACTTATTTTTTGCATATGTCAATAAACGTGACCAGAGGGAAGAAGCATTTTGAGTAAGCCTCCTATTTCTATGCAGTACTTTAAGTTGTCCACATGATGGCAGCATGGATCCTTTTGAAAAACTTTGCTGCAATAAAACATCTTGATCTCAAGACTTCATTTATCAGAATGGCTCCAATTAGAATTTTATGATAGTTTTTTTTTTACAAAAGTATTTTAATTTTAATGGGATTCTTGATGAACAGTATGTTTTGATGAAGGGGTGTCTAATTGAAAAACCAACTGATAAATCTCAGGGCAGTTAAGTAGAGGTGCAGGGGTAATAAGGTTGGTTGTGAGTTTGGCGCCCTGAGGGATTCCCTGTGATCCTCCCAGGTCATTCTCACACCCTGTTGTCAATCTGCAGCCTCCCACGTGGTCAGGCAGGGCGGCGCAGCCACGCCGCTTTAATACGCAACTTTTGTATAGGACAACATCTGATCCAGTCCCATCTCTGCAGAAAGCTCCGGTGTGAGTGTGCTTGGTCTCCAGATCGCTCCCATCTATCCATGCTCCAAATCCTGCGCGCACTGCTGCGTCCTAGTCCAGGACTAATTCAGAACTGCGCTTTAACGCCTGATCCCTCTGTGCTGTTACTGCGAAAGGAGCGCTACGAACTTTATCAAAACTTAACTGGAGCGTTTTAACAAAAAGGGAATTTCGGTTGTATTTCTGGGAGCTCTCACTATGGAGAAAGGAAACAGCGGCTCGGACGGGGAAAGCAAGCCGGAGTGCCAATGTGCCACCAAGCCCGGGGTCCAGCGGTGGCTGCCGGGCTTTCCTCTCCTGCTCTGTCTGCTCATGTCTCTGAGCTCCATCACCGTGTGTCTTCTGATGGGCTTCAGGACCCACCAGCTGGAGAACCGGCTGCACATGGAGCTTGACAAGGCATCAATCCTCCTTTCTCCGAAGAGAACTTTCCTAAACGAGGATGGGACCCTGATTTCAACGCTCAGCGCCCCAGTGGGACAGCTGGTGGAGGAGGTAGATGATCAGAAATCGATTATTCTTGTTAGATAAATCTGTAATAGTTGGGGAATGTTTTCTATCCTGTGCGCAATTGCAGCGCCATAAGTAGATAAGGGATATAAAGGATCATAGATGCACCCATTAATAAAATAAAGATGGGAAATAGGGTGATTGTATCTTGATCAGCTCTAATGATATTACCACTTCTTCCCACATTATTGATCAAAAATATACATAGCAACTAAAAGCAAGCATTTTAAACTTTGTGTTTAAAAGTTTGGAGATGCCATGCTTTGCTGCATGGGCTTTAGTGATGGATCAAAATAGATACTTCTATCAAAACACCTGCTGTATTTTTATTTTTTTTATGATGTTTAGAACAAAAACACAATTTTAATGGGCAGGTTGGACCTTAAAGAAAACCAAAAACTGGCATCAACTTGGAAAAGCCTGATCAATGCACCTGTATAATAAGTTGCTATGGCAAAGGGCGTACAGTCTGTCAGCCCACCCTGGGATGCTCTAAATAAAAGTTTGATTGTTTTAAATGTAGCATTTCTCGCCCCTCTTCAGTTTTTCTTACTGGAACTCTATGTTTGCAGAAAATGGCAGCTCTGATGCCAAAATTGCGGACAGCTAGGGATATTGGCCAAGGGTGCTCCTGTCCTCCAGGTACGTATATATCTGCTTTTTCATGTTTTAGACCACCAGCTCCAAAACACATAGAATAAATAAACGCTCTCTCTTCAAATATGATTTTAAAGGATGTGCAAGCAGTTTTTCTACTCTTGAAGTAGAAGGTTTGGCTGAGTCTTTAAGGCTGGGTCCAGCCTGATCCCTCCTGACCTGGGTCAGTTTGGAAGGGGGAGGGTTTCTGGTGTTTATTACAGGAGGTTTGTGATAGTTCCCTGGGTGGAGAACGGTGTGTGTTCCACATCATGTTACACACACACACATGTCCCTGTGATTCCTGTGGTTTTTAGGAAGATGCTATCGCTCCGATTGAGGGTTAAGTTGCTGTTCCAGGGTGATGTACGTGCTGTGAGGTGCCCACACATACCAGCGAGCCTCGAGCTCCTGTTTGAGTGACCTGCTGACCAGCTGCGTATTTGATAGTGTACATATTTTACTTGACCTATGGAAGGGGAAACGGTAAAGGGCAAAATCCTTTGGCTTGTAGGAACAGGATGTGTGTTCATGACAGCGTGTGTGTGCTTAATCAAAGCTAAGATTCACACATTACATTTATTTACAGTTGAAATTACAAGTTTTTATTTTTTTTATTTGAAAAATAAAAATCCCCAGAGTTTGATGCTGCCACTTCCATGTTTGACCTTGTGTGTTCAAGGTGATGCGCAGTGTTGGTTTCCGGTAATCTAACATGTTTCATTTAGATCTTGCTATATTTGAGATGCCCACATATTATTTATACAAAAAATCTTTTAACTGGACCAAATTTTGACAGGAATGTCCAAATATTTAAGATGTTTTAGTATAAACCCCATTAATGCAAATCAAGTTATTACCTCACATCAATCTATATGCTGGGTTGTGTTTTATATTCCCCTGAAATGTTGTGGAATGAAGCGGTTTTGCATTGAAATCCAATCCCTCATTGCATCTATTCATGAGTCTAAAGTGTTTTTTTGTCTTTTTCCTCTCATTTTCTGGTTTGGTGATGTGGTTTGTTTTCCGTCTTTAGTAAAACAAAGGACTGTGTTGTTTATTTCAGCTTTGATGCAGCCGTCTGCTTGTGAACCTTTTTGTTTTGGACTTTGCAGTTAGATTGCCCAATAGATTCTTGCTATCATCTCTTTAAACAAAGACAAATAAAAAGTAACCCTCTACAAAGTTATGTGGTCAGGGATGCACTAATATGCAGGTATCTGAATGTCCCTTGGCTCCATGTCTGAATCCCATCTGCATGCTTGTGAGAAAGTTTACAGTTCATATCGCAGAGGCATGCGGGTGCTTGAGCGGTTGCACATCAGAGTTCTGGACCCTCTGCCTTTGAGGGTCCCGACAGAAGCCCCTCTCCCATCACGACTCCGTAAGAGGAGACCCTCCTCCCCCCTTTAGCACCAGGTCCCGGCATAGAAACCTGAGCTTGTCCACCTCCGGTATCACAGGCCGCGGTATTTCTCCCCGTCTGTGTGAGTGAGAGCCGCCCTGTCACACATCATGAGTGGCATTTCTGCCATGAAAGTTATGCCCTAACACTGACTCCCTGGTTCATAAGGACCTGTTCGCCAACAGGGGGCAGCATTTCTGCAGCTCATTTGGAGATGATAGGCTGTTAAAACATTCATGGATGATTCTAAGAGGCAGTTTTCCCTTAAAAAAACGAAATCACTCGTAACGTTGAACATCTTGGCTGGAAAAAAAAGCCTAAACGGTGTCATTAGATGCAGCACTTTGATCTGAGGAACTTTTTCACCCCTAGTGTCTTCACTTTGTGACACTTTTATGCTCATAGATACAAGATGGCCAACAGCTGTTAAGACTCAGGCAAACTGTCACTGAGAACAACTCTGCTTACAAGCTTCAGGTGTTTGCAGTTAGCACCCAGCCGCTCGTTCAACTGGCTCGCACACAACTTCACTCAGGCTGCCCACCATACAGAGCTGTAGTACTTGCACTCGAACACCTCTCCGGTGCCTGCAGTAACTAGAGCCATGTGGAGGCTTTTTGCGTCCCACGTAGAACAGGGTGTATTGTCACGTTTCTCAAGCTTGCATTTAGAAGCTGTTTAACAAGCCTAATACCAGACGACAATTCTCTTTTTACGGCCTCTGCATTTTCTGACCCTCTCCTTAATGGCCTTCTGTGTCTGTTTGGACATTTGGTCACAAAACACACAGTTTTTAGAGGAAACCTCTAAGACAGAGTTGAAATGAAGTGAAACAGGAGCTAACATGGAAAAATACTGGAATTAAACTCATTAGAGGATGTAAAGACTGCAGATTTGAGTGGGAATTTCAAACTAAAGCAGATGCATGAGTTAAAATGGTTCAGTCAAAAGTCCAGATCCTGCAAGACCTCAAATGTGATGTGCACAGAAGAATATTTAAGTAGAACCAAGGCCAGCTGTTTCAGTGTCATGATGATTGAAGATAGAGGTGACAGAATAGGAAAGATGTAGAGGCAATAATAATGTTTACATGGCGGTGCAGGATGTCACCAAATAACCCTACATTCACTTTTCTGTTATTTCAAAATTATGCACTAATTGTGGTTTGGTTAAAACAAAAATCTTTGACACAAAATAAAGTTTGTGGTATTTAATGAGCAAGAATGTTGAAATACGTGGGAGTTCATGGACATATTTTTTGGGGGGACAGGGAGGGAAATGTCCCCTGCACCTTTTAACTGCCCAAAAACAATGTTACGCTACTGTACAGACATTCGTCGAGCACCTGAAACAAGCGGAATACTCCAGCTAAATCTAAAGCCCACTTCCCTGAGTTTAAACCGCCTGCAAGCTCCCGATTGGCCCTCCGTCTTTTCTTGTGTGAGTGGCTGTCACCGCTGTGACTCCTGAGAAGCTCACTTTACAAACATCTGATGCTCCGCTGAATCGGGTCTGTGATTGGATGGTTAAACACCCTGAAGTTAGTTATATTAAAAAATACTTGCCCACACCCTCACTTCTGAAATCAACATTTCATCCATGTAGGAGTTTGAATACTAACCTGACTCCGCCAGATGGATTTGCTCCACATATCCATCTGGAAGCCTTCCATTGAAGTAATTTTGGGAAGGGGCGAAAATACTGGTTAGCTGATTGGCCTATGTTGGTGATAGACGGGCCAAATAAACCAATCAG